TTTTTTGCTAGAGCAGGCGGACTTTAGCTTTATGAGTGAACTAAAATTTCATGAACCATTTTTTTATAGGTTTTTCATGATCCTCTTTCTAATGGCACGAGAGTTGGGTTTTGAAAAAGTTTTCTAAGGAGTTTTCCAGAGATCCGGTCTCTGGAAAACCCTTCAGAAAACTTTTTCAATATTTAAAAACGATGCCACTGGAAAGAGCATTGTCGAAAATCTATAAGAAACATGTTTCGAGTCATTCAGGTTACTTTATCTTGAAATTCAAATTTTCAGCCCGAAATTGTCTGTGTGAATCTCAAAAACTAAGAAATTTCTAGAATTCAAAATCGAGCGATCGAAACTAGATGAGCTATACACCATTTGATGCAGTTTTTCACGCTGATTCCAAATCTGGGCTTGTTTGTACGAAAAAGTGCTTTCTTGACGAATAAATCTCTCAAATACCCGAAAACCACTATGGGTTTTGGAAAATTCATAAAACCGTCGGAAAAGAGTTGCGAGATTTTGCGATATTAACATAAATAGCGTGGTGTCTGAGGAACATTTTGATGTATTTGTATATTGGTTTTGAGGGTGGCTAAGGATGGCGATGCAACTGTAGTAGGGTAGTGTCATTTCCACTATCGTTATGAGAAATCCATAATCTGCTACTTATTGAATTCGATGTCAAAGTACAAACATTCTATTATTAGTAGATGGCTGAGGAGCCACTGATTTTGCGTATGTCCTTTCGAATTGCTTAGCATTGCTGAGAGAGCGAAGAATCCCGGTTTTCTATGGTGTCCTGTTTTACCATATATGTAATGCAGTTTTTGTGCCCTAATTTTTCCTCAAAGGAGTCGATATCAAAATAGACATTTATACGCCATTCGATAGAGAATTTGAAGGGCTACATTTTGCACTATTTATTTTTTGAAAACGAGAAACTTCGATTTTTTCCCTAACTTCCGCCTGGATGCCCACTGTGCACTACCATCCTAGGGATACAAAATTGTTCTGTTGCGAAGTACTTGAAGTGGTACCTTATCTAATCCAAAATTTGCTGAAGATTAAGAATATGAAATTTATGTTCCTTGAAAATGTTTGATTGGATGACATTGGCGAACAAAGCAGCAATGTCCCAAGTTGTTCCTGCAGTAGCTGACCGGCTGACATAGTCGAAAATATCTAAAGCTGACTATTGAATCTCTAGGCGGCATAACGCTGACAATCCAACCACATCATCAAATTGATAAAACAGTCCTTTAAAGCTTACCTTTAATAATAAAATTTTCAACATAGTGTTGAATTGATAAATTGCCACTTCGTGTTATAATAGGTGAATCTTGATATGGTGGAAAATTCAAAACAAAAATATGTCGAGCACCATAAGATAAAAGCAGTTGAACACATTTCAACAAACTTTCTGTAATAGCTTGATATGAGATTGAATTATTATAAAAGAAATTATTTCCACCAGCTGATAAGAAATATAATCTTTGTTTTTGTGGTATTTGTTTGCCAGTTTTATTTTGATGAAAGAGTTCTATTTGCTGTAAGGCACCCGGAACTTTTAGCGTTATGTCTTTATAGCTTGAAAAACCTTGTATCAATTGATTATCAGTTGTTGCACCACCATAAGCATAATTTTTAAATTCAACATGTTCTTCTCGATATTTGATTTTCGTGACAACTCGTGTGATAGAGTTTGGTCCATTCGAATATGTACCCTTAAAATATGGAGGTGATGGTGGATTTGTTCGATTGAAAATGTAGTTAAAAACATTGCCAGTATCGAAGAAAGAATCACCAAATGCAATAACTTGACGGATTATTTTACAATCACTGCTAGTGATGAAAATCAGTAGGAAAGTAATAACTAGAATATGCATGACTGAAAATCAGTAAGAAAAGCAGTTGGCAGTACGTTTCTAAGAAAGCCGTTTAGATCTGGTCGTGAAATATTTCACCAAGTTGATAATGGCCTTTGCATCTTGCATTTTTAAAGCAGTAGATAAATTTTCTTAACTAATAATGGATCACTATGAATCAAGGCTGTTTCTTTACACAACCGACGCCTTTTGCGTGTTTATGTAGATGAATTATGTAGGGAGAAGGCTGTGCG